CCTTAAAAAACACAGACCTTTTCATCTGAATAATGCTGTATTTTATTCTGGCCTTCTTTGCTCTTGGCCATACCACACTTTGATTTACATTTAAGTTGGCAATTACTTTACTTTATCTTCAAACTGTTATGTTTTAGGACCCTGATATCCTATGATATTCTCAGAAACTTTGGGAGTAGGAAGTTTAAAAAAAAGTAGGAAGTTTTTCAATTGTTGATAAAAATCATCTGCCAATTAAAGACTTGCTATTTAATAGCATTTTATTTATTGAAGATCCTTTTTGGTCAAATTTAACTACTATGAATACAGGAAAGGAATTCAAATGAGGTCATTATGAGACCAAAACAGATGTCACAGAGATTAGGCAATCAAGCTCATGTAATTTACTCAATGAGGCTTTTATACTGGGTGTCTTATTTTAGACATAATAACTAAATAACTACTTTGATTTCTTGTTTCCCAGAATGTAGAAATCAGAAGCAACAATTAAAAGAGAATGGGAGATGCCAGGATGGTGGGCTCAGAAGGGTTGAGCAGAGCAGGTGGGGAAGGCTAGACCAAGAGAAGTCAAACAACTTGGTTTGTAAAAGTGGTCAATAAATTATAGAAAGCAAATGTGAACTGAAAAGATGTGGCAGCACAAGTCCATTGCAGTGGGGAATTTTATACATCACAGCAACTGCTGAGGCTGTCAGTGGAGTGTAACTTAACTGACACTGGGCACAATTACATCGAATCATAAAAGACGACAAACAAACCTCAGAATAATTTCCTGAAAATGGATAACGTCTTCATTCCCTTAGAAGTAGGTGCAAAGTACTAGTCTCCAACAATTTATCAGAGAAGAAATACTAAAGTAGATATAGGTTGGGTATTCCTAATAGGAAAATCCTTATTTTGTAATTTTTCCTCCTTTTTCATTTGTGTGTGTGTGTGTGTGCTGTATATGCATGCATGTTTGCATGTGCATGTGGCAGTTCCAGGTTGATGGTGGGAATCACCCTCCATTATGCTTCCACCTTATTCATTGAGGCAGGGTCTCTCAAAATCTAAACCAGAGCTCATCAATATGGCTAGTCTCCACAGCCAGCTTGTGGGCTGCAATTAGAGGTAGGCTGCTATGCCCACCTGGCACTTATGTGGGTTCTGGGGATCTAAACTCTAGTCCTCACATTTGTGTGGCAAGTGCTTTAACCACTGAACCATCTCTCCATACAAAATTCTGAACTCATTTATCATGCTGACATAAAGCTTCCCTGTGAATATGTACATGTGTAGATACAAACTCTTAAGGTGATACACACACTTTGCTAACTATTCATGACACAGACCCCTTTATAAATGGAGAAAACAAAAAAAACAAGATGAAGTTATTAATCTGACTTTAAGACAGTACTTTAGAAAAGGGTAACAGAGCTTTAAAAGTTTTTGATCTAACTCTGTACTTACCCAGGTAAGCTAATTTCACTTCTTTTTTGACCATGACGATCAAAGATTTTCACAATATGATCAGCTCTGAAAGAAATTAGAATATAAGGATAATTTAAACATTTCTCTTAACTATGCATGAAAAATTAGGTTATTTCATCCATTTTCTCATGGTAAGTCTCATAATTTGTATTTTAAAAAGTTATGATCAGGGAAAAGGTTCTATGCACTGTAATGTTAGTGGAGGTAAATATTTCTTTTCCCACCATACAACTGTCACAAAAAAACTTACTTCCACCAAAGAGACATTATGGTTATAGATTAGGTATGGTTATGTGTGCATACAACCATTATTTAAAACATGCACTGGTTCTTACCCTGTTACTGCAAGGTAGTTTCCTGATGATTTTTGCCAGGCAAATTGTATTGGGGTGCCAAGCCAAGTCTTTTCTAGCAGCGAGAAAACACGCTAAAAAATAAGCACAATTTTTCCATTTTCAAAGAAATTGATGTTAAAACATAATCAGACAGGCAGGATCCAAAATAATGATAATTTTAGTCAGTGCTTATCCAAAAAAATGTAACAATGAAATGAACAAAGTCAACCAACAACCAAACACAAGTGCCCTGCTCCAGACCTTGTGATGGTCAGCTTTGTCAACTTGACACCACCTGGAACCACCTGGGAAGCGACTCAGTGGGACTGTCTTACTTTGGGTTGGCGTGTGCGCATGTCTCATTGATGTGGTAAGACCCAGCCCACTGTGGGTAGCACCACTCCCTGGGCAAGGGGGTGCGGAAATGTCTAAGAGATAAGCAGAGCATAAACAAGCGACCAAACAAGTATGCATGCATTTACTTCTCTTTGCTCTTGACTGTGGATGTGATGTGACCAGCCTGTCACTGTGCTATGATAGGCCAAGTAAATTCTTGATTATTGTTTGGGACACTTTCCGTTCTCTTTCGGGCTCTAGGCCAGTAGTTCGGCTTGCGGGGGTAGGGGGACGTGTTAACCACAAGAAATGAGGCTGCTGGCAACACGGGATCGGGTCAACTTCATGGCAACCCGTACTTCAAGCAGGTAAGTGTACTTAGATCCAGCCACGGCTGGTTTACTGGCTAGCGGTCCCCGAGAGGCGAGGCCCCCACTCTGCCTCCTCACCCCCCCCCGCCCCCCCGCGCTCCCTCCTACTCCGTCCCCTCCTTCCGGTCGTGGCGCGCCCGTTCTCCCGACTCCTCACAGACTCCCGGGGACAAGGGACACACACGCTCCTGAGCAGACGGCTGCGGGGGCGTCTGCCCACCCCTCAGCATCTGAAAGTTATTTACCTTCATCTCAAGGCTTCTGTGGCGCCAGATCTAGTAAGTGCGCAGGTCCCGGGCCAGAAGGCCGCATTCCCGTTACCCAGGAGACGGCGCGAGCAGCGACCAATCAGAGAGAGCGGGGCGGAGCCTCCCTGGAGCCCGCCTCCGAGAGAGGTGGACGCTGCTGCATTATAGAGGCGGAGCTGAGTCCCCGGAAGTTGGGTGTCTCGAGGTCTTGCTGTGCGTCTGCTTCCTGCCTGTGCTCTGATTGGGTGAGACTGTCTGGATTCTGTGAGCCGAAAGGCGCCTGCGCAAATTTTGACCTTAAGAAACCAGTAGCGGGCACGCGCAGGGTGCTTAGTAGGAACTGGTTCCCAGGCCAAGTTTTCCTACAAGGCCTGTGCGGAAAAAAGTTGGAATAACCTGTGTGTCTTATTTTTCCTCTGTTGTTTTCTGCCCTACAGATGATATGTGAGAGGTAGTTTCAAGGCCTTTAAAAAAAATTTTTTAGCGTGTCCAGCTAACGAAGGGCACCAGAAAAATGAGCTTCCCTAAGCAAATTAAATCCAAAGTGAACAGAAAAAAAAAAAAACAATAAAAATTCAGCAGAAATTGGGGATGGAAAGATGGTTCGGACATTAAGAACTCATACTATTCTTGCAGAGCACCTGACTTCTGTTCTCTGCACTCAATGTCAGGAGGCTCACAGCTGTCTGTAACTAGCTCTAGCTCCAGGAGATCTGACTCCCTCTTCAGGCCTCCATGGACACTGCACTGGATATGCGCACACCCATTCATATATATACATAACTAAAAAAATGTAAAATCTTTAAAAGTAAATTACAGCAGAAATTAATGAAACTGAAAACAAGAAATTATTAGACACCAAAAGCTGGATCTATGAAAGATCAATAAACCTTGATAAGCCATAACTAAGAAGAAAAAAAAACCCCAGAATATACACATTACAAATAGTTACCTAAATGATGTGTCAACTATAGCTAATAATCTTCCAAAGAGAAAGTACCAACCCTAAAATTTTCACTGTTGAATTCCACCATCTATTTAAGGAAGGCTTTTTTTTGTTTGTCTTTTTGAGACAGGGTCTCCCTGTAGCCCCAGCTGTCCTGGAACTCACTATGTAGACCAGGCTGGCCTCAAACTCACAAAGATCCTCCTGCCTCTGCCTCTCAAGTGCTGGTATTAAAGGCATGTGCCACCATGCCCAGCACGAAGAAGTTTTATCAGTTTTGTATGACTTCTTTCAGAAATCAGAACTGAGGGAATACTTCCAAACTCATTCTATGAGGTTATATTACACTAATGTCAAATCCAAGGATACAATCCAAAAACTACACACCCATATTACTTGTAAGTACAAAATGCTCAGAAAGATATTAGAAAATTGCATCTGATAATGTATAAAAAGAATTGCATACCATGACTGGGATTTACCCTAGATAGACAAGGATGTTTCTAGATTTGAAAAATAATTGATATAATCAATTTAACAGACTAAAGAAGAAAAAGATTACACGATGATATCATAGTAATAGATGTAGTAAAAAAAGCACCTGACAAAATGTAACATAAGCAAAATTCTAAGAAAGAACCCCCCCAAAAAAACCCACCAAATAAAAATGAACTAGAAATAGGGGGGAACTTCCCAATTACAAGCAGTATCTCCAAAAAGCCTACAGTTGATGTCGTACTTAATGTTGAGAAACTGGAACATGTTCCCATTAGACACAAGGCAAGGACTTGTGTCCTATGACTCTCAATCTTCTACTGATTGAGAACAACGAGGGAAAACTATCTTTGCAGATGATGTGATTATATAGAAAATCTGAAAAAAAACCAAACAGGTAACTCCTGGAACAAATGATTATAATGAAGTTTCAGGATACAATACTAGTGCACAAAGGTTGATCACTTTTCTACATATGAGCAATAAACAAATTTGAAATAAAAAAACATTACCATTGAAATCTACCTGATGACTTTATAGACACACATAGGTGCCAAGGACCCAAATGCAACCGATTATGACTAGTAATAATCAGATACATACAGATTAGAGATGCATGTGCCAACATCTCAGTGTTATTAGCAAAAACGAGTCTTTCTGCAAGGAACAATATATTCTAAAATGAAATGGAGATCTTTTTTAAAGGTTAAAACTCATTCAGCTTTATGTCTTACAGGGCTTATACTGAGTTCAATATTGTATAACTTGTATTAATTCAACTGTGAAACTAGAAACTTACAGCTGCTTGTGAAAGAGATGTACTCTTGCTCTGGAGTGTGTTACTGAATATGTTAAAGCTGTAATGAAACGCTGCTTCGAATCATGTAGCTATTAAAATTTTTAAAAAGCCCAACCATTTATAGAAGCATCACCAAAATGAAACATATAGATATAAATCTAGAAAAATGTGTGCAAGATCTGTATGAAGAAAACTACAAAACTGATGGAAGCTATTAAAGAAGAACTAAATAGGGTGGGCGAGATAGCTCAGTGGGTAAGGTGCCTGCTACCAAGCCTGATAACTTGAGTTCAATCTCTAGGAACCAAAATGGTGGAAGGAGAGAACCAACTCCCACAAGTTGTTCTCTGATGTCTACATGCATGCTATGGCACACATGTACCTACACACATTCACAAATAAATAAATACTTTTTAAGAAGAAATAAAAGGAGAGATTGTTCATGTTCATGAATAGGAAGGCTCAGAATTGTGTGATACCAGTTTTTCCCAATTTGATTTATAGCTTCAATGCAATCTCAATAAAAATACCAAAAATTTATTTTTGTGGGTGACATATTCTAAAGTTTATAGGGTAAGGCAAAAGTTGCAGAATAGCTACCCCATTATTAAAGGATGAGGAAGCTGGAGTACTGATACTGTCTGACCTCAAGACTACAGTAATCAAGAGAATGTGGCAGAGATGGTGAGATGGTTCAGCAGGTAAAAGCCCTTGACATACAGATCTGATGACCTAAATTTGAGCCCTGGAACCCATGTAGAGGTAGAAGGAGAGAATCAACTCCACAAATTATCCTCTGACTTCCATGTGTGCTGCGGTATGCTCACATGTGTGCACTAATAATATTTTTTTAAAGTATCTTCAATGAATCAGCAGAGATGGCTCAGTGGGTAATGACAGTTGCTACCAAGCCTGACAACCTGAATTTGATCACTGGATCCCGCATGGTGGAAGGAGAGAACTGACTTCCAAAAGTTGTCCTCTGACTTCCACACATCTACCCTGAGACTGCACATGTGCACACACACACACACACACACACACACACACACACACACAACTTTAACAGTATCTTTAAGACAATGTGGTAATGGTGGTAGAACAGACAGCTAAGTTGACAGATCATAATAGAGATTCCAGGAAAGATCCAAATAGATTTAGCTAACTTACCTTTGACAAAGGAGCAAAAGCAATATAATTTATCAGCAATGTTGTTTTTCAACATATGATCCTGGAACTATTGTATATCCACATGCAATTAAATTGATCTAAACAAAATCCCTTACAAAAATTAAACTCAAAATCAACCATAGACCAAATATAAAATGCCAAATTATGAATAAGAAATGATCTTAGGTATGATGACTACTTTTTAGCTACAGTATCAAAGGCACAGGTAATGAAAAAAATAACTGATAAACTGAACTTCATTAAAGTAAAAACTTAATATTCTGCTAAAGATGATATCAGGAGAATGAGACCACCCACAGACTAGGAGAAAATACTTACATAATACCTATCTGATAAAGGGTAAGCATCCAAACTACTCAAAGAACTTTTAAAATACAACAAAAAGAAAATGAATAGCCTGATTAAAAAAATCCTACCTGAATAAACACCCAACCAAAGCAACTGTACAAGTGACAATTGAAATAAAGGAAAGCTCAGTATCATATGTTATTAGGAAATTCTAACTTACAACAAACACTACCATGTTATGTCTATTATAATGACCAACATCCAAAACCCCAACAGCTCCAAATGCAGATGAGAACGTGGAGCAACACAAATTTTTGCTCATTGCTGGTAGGAATGCAGAGTTGTATGGACTCTTTGGGGGATAGTTTGGTAGTTTCCTACCAAACTAAACATATTTTTACCATGTGATCCAAAACTTGTGCTCCTTGGTATTTACCCAAACAAAATGAAAACATCCTCATAAAAACCTGAACACAGATGTTTATAACAACTTTAATCAAAATTACTAAAATTTGGAAGAAATCAAGATGTCCTTCAGGAGGTATAACCTATGATATATCCTGCAATGGACTATTACCCAGTACTAAAAAGAAATGAAGTAGCAAGTTGTGAAATGTTGAGAAATGTCCCCTATAGGCTTATGTATTTAAACACTTGTTCCTCAGTTGGTGGTGCTGTTTTGCAGGGGTTAGGGATGTTCTGGAACTTTAAGGATGTAGAGCCTTGCTGGAGGAATTATGTCACTGGGGGTAGGCTTTGAGAGTTCATAGCCTCACCTCACTTCTAGTTCTCTCTTTTTGTTTCCTATGTGCAGTTGAGATGTGGTCTCTCAGCTCCTGTTCTGACCACCTGTTACCATGCCTACCCCACCATTATAGACATTTAACCTCTGGACCTGTAAGCCAAAATAAACTCTTGCTTCTGGTCATGGTATTTTTTCACAGCAACAGAAAAATAATATACAACTCATGAAAAGATATGAAGGGGCTTTTAAAGGCAAATTGCTAAATGAAAGAAGCCAATCTAAAAAGTTTACAAACTCTAAGACATCAACTGTATGACATTTTGGTAAAGACAAAATGGTGCAGGCAGAAATCAGTGGCCTTCAGAGATTAAAGGGATGGAAAGAAAAGCAGGACACAGAGCTTTTTAGGGCAGTGAAGCTGTTCTATACAATAGCACTATGATCAATACACATTGTATTTTTGTCAGAACCTACAGAATGTATGCCACAAAGAGTGAAGCCTAATGTAAAGCGAAGCCCATAGGCTGTGGGACAGAAATGTGTCAGTGTAGACTGATAGTCACAGTCCAGCAGGTCACTGTGGTTCAGATGGAATTCCAAGGTACCAGTGTATCCAAAACACTCTTGAAAAAGAACATACTTAGATACTAACCTTTTCCCATTTCAAAC